TTTTTTTTTTTTTTTTTTTTTTTTTTTGAGGCAGAGACTCACTTTGTAATTCAGGCTGGCTCAAACTCATGTAGCCCAGGTTGGCCTTAAACATACAGTGATCCGCCTGCCTAAGCCTCCCAGTTGCTGGAATTACAAGTGTGAGCCACAGGCCTGGCTGCACTGGCTTCTTGGACCCACTTTCCTTTCATGATAACAAAGCAGTTTCATATAAACTCACCATTTTAACAATATTTTTACCTTGTAAAGCACTTAGAAAACGCCCAGAATTTTTCTCATATGCTCTGTTGCTTTAGAGCCAGCAGAGGGCAATGGGTTGCTGTTAATGAATAATTGTTTGAATCCTACAGTTATTTTTTTCCAGGCCTGTGTTTTTAAAATGAGGAAGAAGTGCCACCATCTCATAGGTAATTATTTCACTGAGATGTAAGCTTGCATGTAAATCTGGTTTTCCTAAGATCATCCAGATGTATTTCTTAGATATGCAACATTTGAATTTATGAAGCTACACAATTCATAGAGAGCAAGCTATTAGCTAGTATTGCAGAGACCTAAAAACTCATCAAATATAAATATAGATGATTAGTTAAAAATTATAGATGACTGAAGACTGGTGGGAGTGATGGACTAGATCATCTGTAAAGTCTCTGATTTTTACTGATTTTAGGACTCCTTCATTCAGCCAATAAATATTTCTTGAGCACTTGCCATGTGCCAGGCCAGGCACTATTTGTAGGCATTGAGATCTATTGGATAATTACTCACAGGTCTCTTTCTTATTCTACAAGAAATGAGAAAAATGTAGATTCAAGTGAAGGGAATTTTAAGGGCTGGGGCAGGGGAAGGCTGCAAGTCACAAGAGACTTCAAGGAGGAGGAGATGCATCAGCAGAGATTTGAAGGTGTTAGCTGTGGGACTCTGGGAAAAGATCAATACAGGCTGAGGGAGGAGCAAGCACACAGCTTCAGGGAAAGAGTGTTAGAAATTTGGAAGAGAGAAGCAGACTTTGTGATTGCACCCCAGGGAGCTGATGAGATGGCAGAGAGCTGTGCAAGGAGTTTAGTAAAAACAGGGATTGCAGGGATTTCAGCAGATAAGTTTCCTGGTGAGACCTGTGTTTTGAAAGGATCATTCTGGCTCCTGCATGCAGAATAGGCATTATGCAGGCAAGTGAGAAGTAGGGAGGAGGGTGAGGAGGCAACGTTCCTTTGTTCCTTCGTGTCCCCCTATCAGGAGAGCTCCAGAGGAAGTTGTGAGAAGTAGAAAGACTCCCATTTGTGAAGGCAGATTTGATTCAGGTTCAAGGAAAAGAGGGTTAGAAAGATGGAATTAGTTCCCTTCAGCCATGATGGAGGTGTGAGTGGGTCAGGATTGGAGATAGAACTGAGTTCAGCCGCTTTGAGATGTCTTTCACACATTCAAATGGAGGTGCTGAGTGGTAGTTAGATGAAAGAGTGTTTGGGGTGAAAGGTTGCTACTGGCTGTATAAACTGGGTATCACTGCATGTGGATGATATTTAACTCCATGTCCTGGATGACTGCTGTTTGCACCCAGGACACTTCAACATTAAAGTTGAAGGAGAGGAGAAGCAGTCAGCAAAGGGAACAGTGAAAGGTCAACCAATGAAGCAGCAGTAGGACTAAGTCTAATAATGTGTATGTAAATGGATTCATGAGTCTAATAATGCATTAGATGGATGGACTTGCTTATATGGAAACAGATAATTTATGGCAAAAGGTAGAAAGGCTGAGTATGTGGGCGCAGGTGCTGTGGAAATTCTCCTTTCTGATGGCTCCATTTTTCTTATGAAAAAAAAAAGTTCATCCATTGTCAGTGTGGATGGGGGAGTAGGTGTTAGAGACTTTTGAGGAGAGGAGCAGGTGTGAAACCATCAGCTAGAAGGGAAGTGAGGCCAAAGCGGTGTGGTGAGACTACCAGGTGACATTGGAGGTCCCCTTAAGGATCATGGTCACAAATGCAAAGTGTGACCAGGCAGCATTGTCCTGTTGAAATCCAATTTTTAAACACCTCTACCAAGAATTACTGTTTCCAGTAGCAAAACTAATTTGTTTAGATGTGATCTCTATTTCCAAATAATTTTTCATTAATGAATCACATATAGAGATAAATATGCAAATTTCTTCACTATCTCTCCTGTGGATGATGATAAATGGGAAATTGTAAAGAGGGAAAAGAAATAAGCTTTGATAATCCACCCAGGAAATCAAGAGAATCCTCCAGTTCTCTTGTCACAACTTTCAGCTCCAGTCCTTGGTCTGTCAGGACGAACCAGTTTTGGGCAGGATACAGTCCTCATGAAGGGGGAATGAATGTAAGGTTGAGGATCTCCCCCTGCGGAAGGGGAGATGACTTGCCAGCATGTCGCATGTTATGGTTTAGAGCCCAGCCATCCTTGGGCTGGTACCTGCTTTTGAGCCCAGAGGGCACACTAATTTGGATTCCTCTGAGGCAGCTGGTTGGTGCAGAAGGCACTCTGTTCTTACAGGAGGGTGGAGTTCCTGCTCTCTCTTTCAGATTTTAGGAGCTCTCTGGGTGTGTGGGCTCTGCGTCCCCCTGCTCTGCCTGTTGGCTTTGGGCCATAAAGTGGTGTAATCACTCTGGGATCCATTCTTGCCTTTCAGGGCTGGGGAGCTGAGTATCATCGCCAGGATGTCACGAGCACCCCCTGCTGGATTGAGATTCACCTTCACGGACCGCTGCAGTGGTTGGACAAAGTCCTGACTCAGATGGGCTCTCCACACAACCCCATTTCTTCAGTGTCTTAACAGCTGCGTCTGAAGCTGCATTTCTATAGAATAGATGCTGTTGCAGGCAGTTGCTTATATCATTTCAGATTTGCAACTAGCTCAAGTTTCTAAATACCTGTGTAAATACATATAATGTATATTGTTCGTTTTTTTACCACCTTTTGTTTTGTGCTACCTAGTTAATCTGGGGCCATCACAGAATGATTGGAAGAGCAGGGTTTTCAAGCCTATGCTGTTGTAAACCACTACTTTTGTGGGAGGAAATGAGTGAAAGCAGTGTAAATGATATGTGAAAGGTGTCGTTGGAGTCGAAGATACTCTAATTGGTGTGTCATATCCAGCATGTGTGGCCTAGCAGAAATGTGGAAACTGTCCACATTGCAAAAATCAGGTATTAGTAGCACTACAGAAAGTAATATTTTCACAGAAAACAAAACGATCAAACCCATACAGTTTAAATGATGTCACTTTTAGTGCTAATGGCAAGGCGGAGAAATCAGGCTTCTACAATGAATTATGTGAGGTAAACCACAGAAGCGTTATTTCTGAAGTTGAACTGTATACTATAGTTGAACTACTGTGATATTATCAATGGTACATTTAAAACTGTGAAGTGTCATGTTGTCTCAACCTACCACTGTAAAAGTGAGTCTAATAAGAGAAAATACATGTAAAAATAGAATGGAATGAGCTATAATACCAAATGATAAGGTCAGTTCAGAATTTAGTCCAAGAACCACCCAGGGAAGCTAGGTTGGATTATCAGAGAACCCTGCAGATTGTTGCAACTGTGCAGTGTTCAACACTAGGAATGAGTCCTGTTTAGGGAGGAAGCAGTGAGATAAAAGGGTTGGACAAAACATCACACACTTATTTTCACCTTCTCACGTTCCCACATTCAAGCTCTAGGGCTCCCCTAGGGTGCCACATTTTCCTGCCTTAGGTAAATAATAACTATTTACTGATTATTAAAACAATAATAAAGCTCTTGGGAAAATCTAGAGATATTGTTGGATCAAATTTATGAATTAATTAATGTCTGTATTGATTAAACTATCGACTGGTTAAATCCGGTAGCCTCTTAAAGCTAAACCCTCCTGAAATAGAGTGATAATAATTTCATACTTCCTCTAATTTGGGAGAAACAGTGGTACTGAATAGCAGCACATCTTTTGAAAGCATACATAATATTAAAAAGCTGTTCTGTTTTTCTTTGGATGATAAAGGGAAATCCCAGAAATTTCTAGGTACTTGCTGCCCACTAAACACTGCAATGCTTGAAAAGATATTTCACACCTTCTTAAAAATGTACAATTTAAGATGGAAGTTATGCTTCTGACAGTGCTTCAGTAATCCAAGAGGCTTCTTCATTTATACATCCTATGTAGAGTTAGTGCACATGTAGTTGTTTCTCGTCAAACTATACTCAAGTTAGAAAGGATCATGTGAAAAAGATACACGAGTGAGTTACTACTGTCACCTCTTGTACAGACTAGTTTTCACCAATAGAAACTTTCATATATATAGTAGAAAATAATGATTATTTTTTACATTAAAACTAGGCTGCCACTTCGTGTTTAGAAAAACCCACAGTTTACTGATTCATCAGCTGTGTACTGTGCACTTGTGAGTGCCAGGTACAATATTAGGTACCAGGAATCAGATGGAAATGAGATGGTCCCGGCATTCATGGAGCAGAGTCTAACAGTGAACTGTACTTGTCTTGTATAGATGTATTTCAGAACTTTGAAAACAAAACATGCAAAATTTCTTTTGCTTGAAAAGTGTCATTGATTTTTTTTTTCTTTTGGTACTGGGGATCAAACTCAGGACCTTGCACTTGCAAAGCAGGCACAGTGCCACTGAGCTAAATTCCCAGCTTCAAATGTCGTTGATTTTTAAGCATCTCAGTTTTAAAATTTTATTTCCCTTCTGTTCTGACTCCTTGGATAAATGCAACTTTTTGTCTCAGAGCTTTTACCCCCGTACTTGCTTTCTCACTTTCTAATAATTCCCTTCCTCCCCTTTTCTTGGAAAAGTCATTAACCTGGTGAGTCTCAAACGAGTACCATTCCATGTAAGTTTCAGGCTCACACAGCTTTTATTCCAGAGCCCAACAGCAGCTTGTTGGTCCTCTCCACAAGTTCTCAAACTCATCCTCTGAGAATCTTGCACCTTTATAAAATCAATCAGAGTCGTGGCTTCTAAATGACACTTTTTTTTATTACCTTCCTCTAATTTAGATTTTTTTTCTCATTAAATTTATTGGTACTTTTTAGGTATACAGTGGTTACATTCATCATTGGGATCTTGTAACTTTACATGACAGGTCTTGGTTCTCATTTTTAAATCACATTTAAAATAACAATGACAATTTAGAAAACACATATGTGTCATTGTAACTTTAAAACAATGAGAAAATTAGGCCGTGTGCCTGAATTATTTCTGTGAAAAATAAGTTATGAAATGTCATGTGGCATTATCAGCAATCATGTCCCACCAACCCCTGTGAAATCTGGAGACTTCAGAATTGATGGGAAGCAAATTCTCTGGTTCTCGTAAATAGCCATTCCCCGCCCCTCCGATCCTGGGAATTGAACCTAGGACTTCGTACATGCTAGGTGAGTGCTCGCCACTGAGCTATACTCCCAGCCCATCTGGACACATTTCAATCAGCTGTCTTTTTGTTTTGTTTTGTTTTTTGTCTTTTGCTGCTAAGAGTTCTCAAAGCTTGTAATGCAGTATTTGATTTCAGATTTCAAAGTGTGGTCATTTAGCATTCATTCCATGAGGTGGACAAGTTGAAAATTTAAATAGCAGCCTTTCACAGGAACACAAGCAAAGCGGACAGGGTAGGCCATTAAATGCATCAGCACTACTAACATGTTTCAGGTTGCTGTGCTGAGAATCATGGAACTGAAAGCAGCCACCTTTTGGCCTGCTCATAAGACTCAGAACATTGTTCATATTGTTTAAGCCAGTATTGTTTTTTTGAATATTAAAAAAATGAGATGTGAAAATTTTGTTTTATTTAGATGACATGTTGATAGCTGTTAGTGCTTTGCAACCAAAAAGATATCACTTTTTAAAACACACTTTTATGTTTTGCTTTGCTTCATTTTTTTTTTTTATTGAGTTTATTGGTACATTTAGGGATACAGTACAGTTACATTCATTGTTGGGATCATGTACCTTTACATGGCAAGTCTTGATTCTCATTTTTTTCCCCTTACCTCTGCCCTCCCTTCACCCCCTCCTCCCCTCCCCATCTACAATCACTTTATTTTCATCTTTTCATTCTCTCACATTTTTTTCTCTTCCCTTTTTGTTCTTCCCCTACGTATCACACCTTCCCTACACCTTTAGCTCCTTTCCTCCTATTTCTAAATGTCAGTAATCTTATTAGAATCTTATGCATTGTTGCAGAATATTCACACCAGGGAAACTATTTGGTATTTACACATGTGGGACTTATTTATTTCACTTAGGAGTATATCTTCAATATGTATCCATTTTCCTATGAATGAATCTATTCTCTCGCTCTTTATGGCTGAGTAATATTCCATTTTATAGAAAAACCACAACTTCTTTATCCAGTTTCCAACGGATGGGCAAATAGGTTGTTTCCAAGATTTAGCTATTACAAACTGTGCCGCTATAAACATGGGTGCACATACTTCTCTGTGATATGATTCTTTCAGTTCTCTTGGAAAGATACCCAACAGAGGGATGGCTGGGTCAAATGGAACCTCCAGTCCAAGCTCTTTGAGGTATCTCCATATTGATTTCCATAGTGGTTGCACTAGTCTGTACTCCCACCAACAATGGAGGAGGGTTCCTTTCTCCCCACAACCCCGCCAACATTTGTTATTGTGTGATTTCTTGATAGCAGCCATTCTTTGTGGGGTGAGGTGGAATCTTAGTGTTGTTTTCATCTGCATCTCTCGAATGACCAGTGATGTGGAACATTTTTTCATATATTTTCTTGCTGCTTTCACTTCTTTGTATGAGAAATGTCTGTTCGTTTCGGATGCCCATTTTTGGATCGGGTCTTTATATTTGGGGGGACTGATTGTTTTGAGTTCTTTATATATCCTTGATAATAGTCCTTTGTCTGAGGTATTGCTTTGCTTCATTTTTGAACTCATTATACATCAGGAAAAGTTGGCCAATTACCTAGCCTTTAGCATCCTCTTTTTATTATCTTCTAAGGATATGGATCTCCCATTACAGCAACAAGACATCAATAATAAAACCATTTTATAAATATCACTAGCTCCTTAAGCTCCTGCTTAACTTTGAATGTGCCTCAAATATTAGTTATGTATATTCAATAAAGCAAGCAAAATATAACATGCATTCCAAATTGTCTTCCCTGTTACAATTTAACAGCTGAACTGTACAAGGTTAGGTGATCCTGGCATATGTTAAAGATAAATTCAAATGAATGTAAAACACACCAACACAAAAGGAGAAACCCTATTTGAGTGAAGTAATGCTTTTGATGATAATAACCTTGGCTTCAGTTATCCTTCAAATGCACAGTTACACTGTATTCTGATTGTTTATAATAAAGAATACTGTACTGAGATGTGTTTTAGCTCATTTTTCCTACAAACTCCATAACAGAATTCACTGTATGTGGATCCACAGCTCCTCACCACAATCTCAAACCATTCTAATTTGAAAATAAAACATAAAAAAACATTCACGCTGTGGAGAAATTAAGTGGTGATTTTTGAGTTAAACATCTTGTAGAAATTTTAGAGACAATATACAAATGCTTCTTAATTTATAATGGGGTTGTATGTACCTCTATAAAATTCCTGTAAGTGGAAATTATAGTAAATAAAAATGCTTTTAGTACACTTGCCCTACCGAATATTCCACCTTAGCAACCCCGCAGAGTTGGCTGTTTTCCATTGTTGCCATGTGGCTGACTGGCACCTGCTGCTCATTGCCACTGCCCAACACTGCAAGACTACTGTGCTGAGTGGTATCACAGACCAGGGAAAAGAATACAATTAAAAATGCTAAGTATGGTTTCTACAGAATGCATATATTGCTTTTGTACCATCATGAAGTTGAAGAACTGTTAAGTTTAAAGATTCTAAGTCAAATTACTGGAAGTCAGAGACCATTTGTACATAGAAGCCTTTGTGGGCAGTAGCAGATACAAAGTGATATTGTAGTCTATAGGAATGATTTATTTTATTATCATAAATATCTGTACTATGCTATATATTGTCCATTAAAAAGGAGCTAAAAGAAAACTACTGTTGGGCCGGAGATTTAGGTCAGTGACATTGTCTCTGCCTCGCAAGCACAAGGTCCTGAGTTTGATCTCCAGTGTTGGGGAAATAAAAACCACTCAAGAAAACTAAATGAAGTCTAGGATAAATACGAACATATCTAACATTTAAATTCTTAATTCCCTTTAAATGTACTTCTAGTCTTCAAATACAGAAGGAAAAATATCTAATATTTCTAAGATAATTTAATTTTTAAAATTAACTTTGTCATTTTTAAAAAAAATGGATCCCTTTACTCAAGAGAAGTATTTTGTGAAACTCCAAAATATAAATGGTTGAAAGACAGGCTTTACAGGTTAGATGTTGGTGGAGATAATAAAACTTCTGGTTTAAGTTTCTGGAGGACTGGGGATGTACCTCAGTGGCTGTGCGCTTGCCTAGCATGTCCAAAGCTCTGGGTTCAACCCTCAGCACCAAGAAACGAGTTGATTATGGTGGTGGTGGGGAGAAGGCTAGAAAATTGTTTCTGGACCCAAGTGATATCCTCTTTGTCTCTTCACCCCCATGGCTCCTAAGCCTGTTCTTTCATGTAATACTTGGTTTTGGCATTTCAAACACTGATTCGTACACATTTTAAATATATCACAGTGTAGACATAAAATTCTATCTTTAACATTAGCTCATCTTACAGGAGGATTTTTCATTGCCATAGCAACTTCTACACATTCATTCATCTGACAGTTCTGATGTATCAGCAGGCACTATAGGTACAATGACAGCATTTCTGCCTTTAGACTATCAGGTTATGAAGCAAGATACATGAGTAAACCAATAAAGTCTGTTTATTATCACTTGTGGTAGGCTGCTGGAGAGAGGGGCAGTGGGAATGACATCTTCATCAGCCTCTAGATGGAACAGGGAAGGCTGAGCTAATGCAACTTGACTCCAATCAGCTCCTTTAGCAATCCATACCAGGTATGTCCACCACAGGTGAGATGCTCCCATAACAGTTTGTGCCCACTGACAGCCAGTTATCATTTCCTGTGCCACATCATTTATCTGTCCACCTCTAAGGGCAGAAATTATGTGTACTCATTTCAGCATTTTCCAGCTTTGTGTGGAATGGCATCTGGGATTCACCCTGTAAGGCAGAAATAGTATTTGTTTACAATTCTCTTTCAAAAATCTGTAAATAATTTAGTTTCTTCCCTTCCAAATAATGATTTCAAGTCTCTAATTGAATGTTAAGTGACCAGGAGCAGCTGGTGGGCATCAGAGAAACATGCTGGTGGTTCAGTTTGGAAACAGTTATTCAGTTTCCAGTAACTGCAAATCAATAACAAGATAGCTTTCAGTTAAAAGTGTTTTAATTCTGAGCACATATTTTCAAATATGAGTTTCAGTGAAGATTGGAAGCATAAAGAATTCTGATGTTGCATCATCACCTAGTTAACAAAAAGAATTCTGAAAGTTTACTTCTGCATTGCAACTGATGGCTCCATAATTTGCATGCACCTGATAAAAATATTTTGTACTGTCTAAGTATCGCTCTAGTA